TCTATCCCATGGCTGCATTTTGGGGGCCGATTCTCCAACCTGTTTCCTCCCTTCACCACAACATCCTTCCTCCCAGTCACAAAAGCGAGCAGGTGCTCAGCCCTTTTTCCCTTTGCTCCGAAAATGAGCCGGGTTGGGCGGTCTCGTTCCCCAGGGTGCCTTTTGGAGAGGCAGCTGAGCTGCTGCCAAGAGACTCAATCAATTCAGCAGGGCCTCTATTCATGCCACCTCTAAGGAAAGAAAAACACCCCTCCCTCTGAAGGAGGGGGGTTAAAAACCTCCATAAAGCTGCCAGGATGCCCAGCCAAGATGGATGGGGATCCTCCTGAGCACCCTCCAAACTCTGTTTAGGCTGTGCCCCCACCACCCCACCAATCCTTGGCCAACCCAACCCGTAGGCTTTGGTTTCACACTTTTTAACTAGATCTAAGATTTATGGGGGAGCCAGCCATGTGGGTGGCTCCTCCCCTCAACCCCAGCGATCAGGTCAAGAATAATAAAATAAAATAAAAACAGAGCACCCCGTATCCAATCTATGGGTCCAACCAGACTGATCACTTAGGTGTATGACATGTGTGCCAGTCCACACACACTTAGGGATGCTGTCTAAACTAGACGCATGCATGTTATGGCAGTCAGCTATGGCATTGTTCTATTTTAATTCATAAATCAACATGCTGGAGGCCTGGATTTGGACTGAGTCCACAGTATGCGGGTGTGGGAGAGTTAAGCCACTTCACCTCCAACTCAGTTTTTTTAAACAAACCCTCACCCAACTCCCAAGAGGTGCAGTTTTTCCTAACATGGCTATGACAGTGTTGTACTTGCCTATGAGTAACTTAAAAAAAAAACACACACACTAACTTATTCAGCACTAACAGACAGGGATTCAAACCCAGACTTTTGAGATGTAAGCATTCAGTGTCCTGAGCCTACATTGATGAATCTGTTGGTTTCATTTCACCCACATTTGGATTTTCAAACTCTCAAGTTTTTGCTAGTATGGATATATTGCTACAGATGAGGAACCTGTAAGGGAAGGAAGGCGGGAACCTTAGTTCAGCTCTAATATTGCTGGTTCTAGGAGGAGTTAAATGTTTCCATAGATTAATCTGCCCGGTCTTGGTTTATCCTATATGTTCAGAGTTTCCCATCCCTCTCTCAAGTTCTTTCCATTCTGAATATGATGTAATTTGGGGGTGGGGGGGGTGGGGTCGGAAAATATATTAAAGGAAGAACTGAAACAAAATCACACCATCCTATATCACAAGGTTGAATATAATCTCAAGGAAGCCCAACAGTGTCTTCATGAAAATTTACCTCATCCCCCAGCTCTTTTGCTGTGTAATTTATATATTTCCTCTGAAAGATAAGAAAAATTTTGGAGAAGCAACTGTCCTAACCAGCAAATGATATTTACATGTGCCTATTTTAATTGTCACGAAGTGTCAGACATGACCTAATGGCTAAACAACAACAACAACAACCATTTTAATTGTGCATTTCCAGATTATAGATCCATTTGTGGAGGTGGAGATAATTGGATTGCCTGTAGACTGTTGCAAAGAACAGACAAGAGTCGTGGACGACAATGGTATGGCTCCTTCTTTCTGCTTCTTCCCCTATGATTGCCCATCTGTGCTACAGACAGCGCACAATTCCAGAGTTATCCCGAAGTTACTCATAGCATGACAAAGAAACAAGAATTTCTAAGATTATCTCCTCCTAAGCATCCTCCTTAGGAGGCAGTCCAGTTTCTGCTTTTTTAAAAAAGTGATGGCTTTTTTTCTGCTTAAAAAAAAAGCCCATGATTTTGTCATTCTGTGGCCCAATGGATGTTAGCATCCCTATTAGGAGGCAGTCCAGTTTCTGCTTTAAAAAAAAAAGTGATGGATTTTTTTCTGCTTAAAAAAAAAAAGCCCATGATTTTGTCATTCTGTGGCCCAATGGATGTTCCATTAGATGTAGGCCAGTGCCCATTCACACACAATGCAAATCCCAGATAAAACCAGTTTGTCTTTTAGATGCCACCAGCTTCTTCATAGACATTTTTTGTTCCTGTGGCAGACTAAGATGACTACCCTTCTGGAATCACATGATACGAACTGCTGGATAGCTCATTGGTTTGGAGCTCTGGCTGTGGAGCCGTAGGTTGGGAGTTCAATTCCCCCCCCCCATGGTGCCTCCTTGCCAGGGGTTGGACTTGATGATCCATAGGGTCCCTTCCAGCTCTGCCCTTCTGAGATTATTATTATTATTATTAAGACCCTTTCACCTGTAGGTAGCTGCCAGTTGCTTTTTCACCAGGATGTGCTCTCCTGGCCTCAATAAAACCTCGACTCTCTACTTTTCAGGTTTCAATCCAATGTGGGAAGAAACCCTTGTGTTCTCCATCTGCATGCCTGAGATTGCATTAGTTCGGTTCCTGGTGTGGGATCATGACCCCATTGGGCGGGATTTCATCGGGCAGAGGACAATAGCATTTGCAAGCATGATGCCAGGTAAGATCATTGTGTTTGTTGTTGCTTAAGGGCAGAATCAAGGGATCATGGGCAGCTGAGGATATTTTGCTCAGCTCCTGTTTCTCCCAGTGGGGCTGATGTATGTTGTTCAGTCCTGTGCTTCTGCGATGTAGAGTGATCCCAGTGGGAAACTGCGGCATTACTGACTCCGCCCCTTTGCATCTGTAGGATCCTCTGCCGATCTTTCCATTGATCAATATATTTTCCCTAAAGATATGCTACTGTGAAGGTTTTGCCAAACAGATACAGTGGTGCCTAGCAAGACAAATGGCTTGCAGGACAAAAAAAAAATCGCAAGACAAATGGTTTTGATGATGGGGTTGATGACTCGCAGGTAGACAAATGTTCCTATGGCTGTGCTTCTCAAGACGAATGTTTTCTGTTTTTCGTTCCTGCCTCATGTTTGCTGATTTTTAAATGTTTTTCTATGGTGTTAAAAAAGTTAAAGTTTTTGATTGAATTTTTAAAGAATTATCTGCACAATAGGCATGCTTTAAAGAGCACTTAATAAACCCTTTGTAAACCAAATCTGACTTTGTTCTGACCTTTTTTGCCCATAGGAACGCATTAATTAGATTTCAATGCATTCCTATGGGAAAACACATTTCGCAAGACAATTTTTTCGCAAGACAGCATTAATGGCGGAACGAATTAAATTCGTCTTGCGAGGCACCACTGTACTAGGTATAGAGCAGGACTGAGAAAGTGAGTGATTTACATTTGCTAAGTTCTCTGGGTGAGCAGTCAACAGAAGGTTTTCTTGAGGTGTGTGGGAGAATAGCAAAGCTTTCTTCATCAAGGAAACTGGGACAACCTGCTATAACCCAAAAGGTAGCCTATTGGTCATGAAAACAAAATAAAGTCCAAATTCTACAAATAAGCAGTATTCTTACTAGGGCCAACTAAAATTCCACCATATAGTTATGGGGTCAGGGGGAGGTGGAATTTAGAACAACATACTAAAGAGCCTCTGGAGGTAGAAACAGGCCATTATGTCTAGTCTGCAAAGACAGATGCAAGCACGTTAATGCTCAAGAAATATGTTTAAGACAGTCTTTCAGGCTTGTAAAAGCACATTTCAAAGGAACCATGTCTTTAAGTCTTGAAGACAGTACACAGAGCAAGCTAATCTTAATACTCCTGGAGTTGAGACAATATTTGGTTATGACACTCAGATGCTTTCATTAGTTACAACATACAATGGCAGGCTATCTATAAGGTCTGCTTTTGCTCTAGGGGTGTTACATTTTGCTCCCCAGTAGACTCTATGCAAGTACATACACATGTGTAGGCATAGCTCCCAACAACATGTGGATTCCTTCTTTCCTTCCACCCAACCATGAGTCCTTATGATACATACTCTCTGGTTGGCCATTATATTTTTCCAGCCTCCAGTTTGCACAATCCCAATATGATGGGGATGGGATCTCATAGTCAAAAGGGTAATATTCAAAGATGTTTTTGAAAGAAACCACAGTCTCTTTCTGGTCCCATTTTTGCTGGCAGTTCAACAGCGGCTTCAATTACTGCCTGTAATGTTAAAAGCAGGCTGGCGGTTGAATATCTACAAAACCCAGGGGCTTTTAACACATCTCTCCCTCCCACCCACCTCTCTGTACATTCCTCCTCACTTGATTTTTGTCCCTTCCTGATTCAGATAAAAGGAACCCTGTGTTGTTGTTGTTCCAGTTCCCCTTTCTCATAAGCCATCTTTAAAGAAAAAGGAAAGTTGGCAAAGGAAAAGTGATTAGAAAAGAGGAAAACATCCATTGGACTTCAAAAAGGGAAAGGAAGAATAAGTGAAAGAAGTTCTGGTTATGAAATTAATGCTGGCTTTCAAGGGAGCAGTGAAAGTATTAGAAATTCTAAGACTGGCAACTGCAATAATGAAGGAAGAAGAATGTTCTTTGATATTCAGGAGGGAGGAGTAGACTCTGAGGGTTGCAAACAGGCCTCTGCTGAAGCAAGGGGGGAAGATGGCAGCAAGGCATAAAAGGCGTTGGAATGAAAATCTGTGCAGCTGAAATGCTTATTGCTTTTGGCACCGGCTACACATGGGCTGCTCATTTGTATCGTCATAGAATCATGGAGTTGGAAGGGAGCCTGTAAGGTCATCAAGTCTAACCCCCCAAAGCAGGAATCCAAATCAAAGAAGATCTGACAGATGGTGGTCCAATTGTCTCTTGAATACCTCCAGTGTTGGGCCACTTACCATCTCCTAAGGTCATTGGTTCCATTGTCGTACTGCTCTAACAGTTATGTTTTCCCTGATATTCAGCCTAAATCTGGCTTTCTGTAACTTGAACCCATTATTATGTGTCCTGCACTCTGGGATGATCAAGAACAAATCCTGCTTCTCCTCTGTATGACAACCTTTCAAGTATTTGAAGAGTTGTATCCTCTCTCTCCTCAGTCTTCTTTTCTTAAGGCTAAATGTGCCCATTTCTTTCAGTCTTTCCTCCTAGGGCTTGTTTTTGAGTGTGCTTTGCTCTCTGACAGTATTCTCCAGATGGAACTGTAGTCCAGATTATGAGAAGGTTGAACCCAATGACAAAGTTTGGACCACTGTGAGGACGTCAGTGGCCATGGGAGGTAGAAAACCTGCATTTCCTATGACTCCCTCTCGCCCTGACCCACAGCTTGGAAAGGCTGCTTTTTTGGACACAGCTCCCAGAAGGCTTCACCCGGGCTGGAGAATTCTGGGCATCCCTAGTCAAAAAGTAACTTTTCAAAGTTCTGCCCTACAAATGCATCAGCATGTGAAGAAGCACAAAACCAAAGCATTTCCTTCTCTGTGGGCTTCATTCATTTCTGCTGTTGTTTGATTTGGCGAGCCTACTCCTCCACAAATTCTCTTGATTCAGTGGGCCTACTCTAGTTGTGACATACTACATTAAGCTAAAGGGTTTCATCTCATGAGTAGCCCAGTCTTTTTCCTTTGGGTTCCCCATCCCCCAATGTAAACAGGGATATAGGCAAGGCCCAAGTCCAAGTCCCTATTAAAAACAAGCTTTTGATCGGCAGAAAAAAAAGAGAGGGATGGGTCCCGAGTCACGAGTCAAGTTGAGCCATTGGAAAATCAAACGTAGCCCGAGTCAAAGTAACCGCTGTGACTTACGGAAGTCTGACGTGACAGTGAATCCCACAACTCAAGTCCCCATCCCTGCTGAACGGGGCTACAGAGACATGTCGAAAAACAGCCAACCCACTCAGATAACCCTACAGGAAGGGAGGACAAATGATTAAATGCTCATCAATGTATGCCAAACCCTTTCCTCCAACAGTGCATGGATGTTGACCTTAAAACACGGAACATGGTTACATCCTCAGTACCCTCCAAAGTAAGGTGTTAAGAGTTAATGCTCTTGTCCTGTTTTTGGTGAAAGAGTGCTGGGTGAAATGTCAGCTCTTGACATTTTCAGCTCCTCTCAAATCTTTGTACTTACGGGACTGAGGCATGGAGCAAGGGGGAAGATTCACGGTCTATCTACTTCCTTTGTTCTGTATCTTTTCAGGCTATCGGCACGTCTACCTGGAAGGCATGGAGGAGGCGTCCGTCTTTGTCCATGTAGCGATCAATGACATAAGTGGTAAGGTGAGTGATGATGGGGGCCCGAGATGAGAAGGCTTGTGGCTTTCAATGGGGAGCGTTTGGTAAGAAGGGCAGGGGGTGGTGGTGGTCTGGGATCATCTTATATGATGACTTAAGGTTTTAATTCTTTTATGATCATGTCACTCTATGAGTTGGAGTAGAAAGCAGTGTTGGAAAGAACCCATCCCCACCCCATTTTGCATAGCTCAGACTTTTCTCGGCGCTTCTCCGTTGTCCACTAAACCCCAATCCATCAAGATTGCCTCCAGTAAAATTACAAAAATGACTTGTGCGCATATGCTCTTCCACACTGCTGGTTAGTGCCTTGATAGAGGAATTCCAGGTTCAGCATTTGTAGGGATGCAGAAATGATGCAATATAGCAGGACATGTAGGCAGGTTAAATGTTGCTTCTTTGCACTGTGGTGTTGTTGTGCTTCCTCGGTGGTTGACAAAAAGGTGGCCGCCAGCTTTTCTTCAGGCTTGGTAAAGGCCACATCACAAGGAGAATCCCACTTCTGATACTTTTCATTGGCCCTGTGGTGACCAAGAATCAAAGCAGTTAAGATGTGGCGTCCGACTGACAGAGAGGCATAGAAAATTAGACATACCGTGGAGGAATTCTCACTTTAGCTTATGAATAGGAAGAGTCAAGTGGAACCATGAGGGTGGTGCCATTTCAACAAGCAGAATTTAACCCTCCTACTGGGCAGAAAGATTTCTTTGCCTAGGGATTTTGGGAGCTGAATGAGTTGAAAAATCTGGGGCATAATAAGCACTGGAGAAGAGAAGCCCTCATCAAATGACTGCAAAATTCTTAATTTATAACTAGATGGCAGGATATCCCCCAGGCTGACTTGAATTGTCTGGACTGTCTAGTGCTCTGAATGGTTTCAGTCTAGCCACTGGCCCAGTTTGGATGTCTGTATCTCCGCTGAATGGAGACCATGTCAATGATAAGGTCAGCTTGACTAACAGAGAGACAATGTCTGGCTGAAGGTCACTCAGTGACTTTCATGGTTCAGTGGAAGACTAGAACCCAGATTTTTCAGGTCCGTGTCCAGTGTTCGAACTATGTCACACTGGCTGTGTAATAGCTCTTGAAGGTGGATGCATCTCACCCTTGATGTAATGCCTTGAATCATGTGTATCCCATGGAAGCCTCTAAGGGTTTGGCTCCATTTTTTTCACCTTTCTAGTATGGTAGAAGTTCAGAATAGCCTCCACAGACTTCCCCTATAAGGTTCCCACATCCCAATTTTTCTTAGAATGCTACACATGACACTTAATACATGCCACTGAAGTATCACCCTGGGAGTTGAGTCATTCACTGCTGCCCTCTTCCATAATATTACAATTTGAAATTACTCAAGGAAATTGGCAGCACTCTGAAGGCAGCAAAAGGAAGTGCTAATTAATACCTAATTGATTAACTTGTGGGGTAGTGCTGCTGGAAGGAACAGGGATGGTTTGTTGGCTTTAGATGGCTTCACAAGGGCAATTAACCAATTAATGGTGTCTATTAGCTAAGGTTCATTTCCTTCTTTCCTTCCTCCCATGGTCTAGGCTGCAAAATTGCTTGTAGCTGGGCAAGTATCAGATTACTTCAGGATCTTTCCTGCACTTGTCAACAGAGATGGGCACAAAATGAACCACAAAGCAAAAACCTACAAATCAGGCTTTTTCCGTGGTTCATTTTGGGGTGCTTCAGGGAAACACGCCTGCCCAGAACAAAATGAAACTCTGAACTGTTTGGCATTGATGATTCGTACATGGGCTATAATTTTGACATCCCAAGACGAATATTCACCAAACCTGGGCTGACTTTTGTCTCCTGTTTGGAGAAGATTCAATTTCAAAGGTTCAGGCTATAGCCCTCCCAAAGGTGCTAAAGAGCACTTTCCTTTGGGGAGGGGGATATAACTCAGATGTCCTAAATCCAATATTCACCAAATTTGGAGGGGGTGGGTAGGAGAGTCAACTGAAGACTCTCTGTAACTTTGGTATCTCTCGCTCATGCAGGAACCATTTAACTGCTCCCAGAAGTCCCAAAATCACACTAACCATGGTTTGGTTTGTTTGAAAGTTCATGAAAGTTCATGCTTTTTAGTTTGTGAACAGCAACGAACCACGAACCATCACAAACCATTGTTTCCCCCATTTCTGCCCATCTCTACTTGTCAATAAAAACTCAACACAGCATTACAGTAAAGATAAATGTAAAGACAGGACTCCACTGTCCCTTTATCAGGACCAAGCCAGAGTCCACAAGAATGTGTAAGATGATGGGCCCTCAGAACTCAAACAATACACAGATTGACCAGCAACAGCATGGACCGAATGGAGTGTCCATTTGGACCTTCATGGACCCTCTGGAGCTGAGATGCTGGGCTGTAAGGATCTTCAGAGGCCTGCTTAAAGAGCTCTTTCAGGATTCTGGGCAAAATGGGAAGTAATTTTGGCAATGCTGGCCACCCAATTTTACAGCTACACAGCCATAAGCTGTGTGAATGGGTTTGGCACCACTTAAAATAAAATAAAAATCGACCTCTCGTTTTGCTCTCTCCTCCGCACGTTCAACCCAGTTTGCTAGTAGCCGAAGGGATGTTTCTCGTTTTGCATCTCTTAAGTTTGAAACGAATCAGAAAAACAAAACAAAACAAAAACAGAGGTTAGTTAGAAATTGGGAAAAAAAGAGAGAGAGCTGTATCTACCCAGTCTCCTTCCCTCCCTCCCTTCTCTCCCCGCCCTCTCTTTCACACACACAAACACTGTGTCTCCAAAGGAAAGCTTTCCCGACTCCACTGCTGTGGTTGAACGCAGCCCTAATTAAAAGCAAGAAAATATGGCAGGAGAATATAATGAGGGCAGGGGTGGGGGGGTGGAGAACGCGGCAAAGAACAAGCAGGCCTCTGTCTGGGTTCAAAGGAGTCCAGGAGGTGCGGAGCAGCATCCGATTCCAGATGCTCTGGATCCTGAGGGGAAGAGGGAAGCCCTGGTGCGTTGCATGGCAACACATCCAGTGAAGGCAGGCATGCAGGCTCTTTAGAAGAAGGGAAGCCAGGAGGGGAAAAGTTAGCCAGTCTAAGTCAGAACGGCCTTAAAATGGCTTTCCATTCCTCCACCGCTTTGGTGCTCCTCCAGTATCTGATGTGTCCATCCCGTTCTGAAGTCAAGAGAAAGACTACACTGATTACTGATGCCTTGACACCACACCGGCAGATGGGCTTTCATTTCTCTGGTGGCCTCGTGCTGTGGCAGAGAGATTGGGTCCAAAGCTTTGGAGTGTTAGTTTCTGGGGGGGGGGGACTATAAACTCCCAGAATCCCCTGGATAGGGAGGATTCTGGGGGCTGTAGTCCAAAAGGTAATGCTTCCAGGCTCTGGTTATGTCCCACAGTAAGCTGACTTTGTCTGTCACACTTTTGGCTTATCCCGCTAGCTGTGATCCCATGTCTTGCTTTTCATCATCATCATCATCATCTTAGAACTGAAGGACTAGAAGGGACACTGTGGCCTCTGGCTTTCAGCCTTTGTCAAGGATGCCCAGTGGGGGGATCGAACTCCCAACCTCTGGCTTAGACGCCTGAGCCACTGAGCTTTGCTCCCTTTGTGCTGTTGCCTCCATTGTGGAAGCCTTGGCTAGAAGGCTCCCAACGGTGGGACTGTACCACTTGGGAGCAGTGGTTGGAAAACACACATGGGCGATGCTCCATCATTTGAAATGCCCCTTGCAAGGGATATGTATATGTGTGTGTGGGGGGGGGACTCTCGCCGCTGGCAAGATTTCAGTCAACCCAGCAAGACAGTGTATTGAGGATTCTTCAAACCCTCCAGGAGGTCTTGCCTCCAGCACAAGTTGTGAACACCCACCACTTTGGGGGTTTTGCTGTCTGCAGTGCCTGAAAAGCATCCATGTGCAACCTTTTTTTGCTTTGCATTGCTGTATTCGGAAATCCCACCAAGGAAAGGGAGATCCTGTGTGGGTTGCGATTTAGACCCCTCCCCATATGTCTGTGTGATGGTGGGAGGGAGAGAGAGAGAGAGAGAGGGAGAGAGAGAGAGAGAGAGAGAGACTCCTTCCTATCTATTTTAATATTGTTTCTTCTAATAACGTAAGCCAATTTTAGGTGAGAGGAGGCATATAAGTATTTTAAATAAATAAAACAAATAAACAGACAAAGCAAGCACACAGGAACAGTCACAACTGGAAAGAAGGGCCAAAGAGAAGTGAAGACAAAGGTGAGGACAGTACAAAGCAGGATGTTCCAAGATTAGTGTGATCTGGTAGGAAAGCCACTGCTTAAGTTCCAGAGTGACTGGAAGCCCATGGAAGTCTTCAAGGGCAGCCCCACATCTCAGACACTGCAGTAATCTAACTTGCATTGGCCAGGGCACAGCTTCTTAGCCAGGCATGTGTTCATGCCTAAGTGTGTCTATGGAATATTTTTTAGTGCTGAGTATTCTAGGGACGTGGTGGTGCTGCGGGTTAAACCGCGGAAGCCTCTGTGCTGCAAGGTCAAAAGAGCAGCCGTCGTAAGATTGACTCCACACGACGGAGGAAGCTCCCGTAGCTTCTCCCAGCTCCTGCCTACCTAGCCGTTCGAAAGCATGTAAAAATACAAGTAGATAAATAGGTAACCACTTCGGTGGGAAGGTCACGGTGTTCCGTGTCTAGTCACGCCGCCCACGTGACCATGGATACGGACAAATGCTGGCTCTATGGGTTGGAGACGGGGATGAGCACCACCCCCTAGAGTCAGACACAACTGGACTAAATGTCAAGGGGAACCTTTACCTTTACCTATTTTAGGCAATAGATGCTCCTCACCACTCTCTCTCTCTCACATAAGCACATATCATACCCTTTATTTCAAGCTCACAGACCTGTTGGTTAAACACCATTTTCTGTCTTGATTAACCTCCTTTGATCGTGTACCTGCGTAATTGCTGCCCTCTTTGATTTATCTCTTTCTTCCTGGGTACTTCTCTGATGGATAGTTTT